ATGTCTACAGTATATATATATATAAAGACAGCTCTTAACAATATTAAAATAACAATAATTTGTGAAAACACCTACAATCCAAGCCGTCCTACAACATAGATCACTTACAAGCCAAGCCGTCCTACAACAAAGATCACCAACCCCAGTTATTTTATTATGTGTTCAACTTGCATCATTATCATCAACATCGACAAATCTAGTTAATGCTGCAGCAAGTTCGGACAGTATCATTCATTCCTTGAATCATGCCTCCATTAATTCTTATGAATGATTAAAAAAAAGAAATCTTATCGAACCTTGTTGAACAATAATTTGCGTTACATTCTGTTTGCTTTTTCATTTTAAGACATTACAAAATAAAAACAGGGTTGTTTTCCTTCTGTTTTACAGTTGACAATGACCCCAGCACTGATTTGTAGAGCAAGGAGAATGTCTGCAGAAGCCATTATGTCTTCATCACAAGCTGTACCAGCCATCACGTCATCAAGCTTGTCTCTAACTGAATCCATATATCTACAATCATCTTCAATGTCACCAGTTGTACCTCAAAACTGGTCTTGCTCTGTAATGGTGAATATTGGTTCAAGTACCTCAGCCAGGGGACAACAGCTGATGATAAGCATCACCGAGACCATCGAATCTCCACTTCAGCGACTTGCAATCAACACCAAATTTACAGCCTCAGTTGCAGGTGCACCCTTGCATATCGCTGAACCTTCTTCAACCAGGCCGGACAGCGGTAGATTTGCGTCACTGGAGGCACAGTTAACTGCTATGGTCGAATCAAACGAAGACCAGCCGCCTCCCCTTCCCATGGGAGTAGCAAGAAGAAGGCCCCTCTATCGGGTAGTCACGCCTCCCCCAGCCGCCTTTCTGGGAGCTGCGCTTCCTCCTAACAGAACAAACGAAAATGGTAAGTTTAAAAGCTGTGGATGTATACATGACCCGTGCTATCAACTATCAATGTTTTGCTTGTATGCTCAATCCTCTGAGTATTAAGTATTAATTCATTTGTTGGATGTTCTTTCTGTTAATTGCAAAAGGTGAAATCTTCTTATTCGAAGAGGATCATTACAATTATCGGATTGTTGGACAGAAGATACAAACGGTGGATTGTTCAATCGATATCCTGTCAAATCTACATTATATCATTCAAACTGACACCACGACAGGAATGATGAATATCCTGGGATCCGGAGTGTTCGGCTCGGTGAGTAGAAATGCTACATTGCCTTTAGAAGATAACATTCTCAACTTGTTAATCAAAGACAACCTAGTATAATATGGTATTAAATGTCTATGTAGGTGCTATTGTAAAATGATCACAAAGAAATCAGTTGTCTCTAATGTAATGATTATATCTGAATTATGTTAATTTTTCAGGTTTTCACAGCAACACATCTACCATCAGGGGAAACAGTGGCATTAAAATTACAACACGATGGAGACGAGAGAACCGTAGAAGTAGTTGCTGAAGCAAGGATAATGGCATTGTTGTCGCAAACAAGATTTACACCAAAGCTGTATGGGTTATTGCCAGACCCAACAGATCCCAGAAATCTACTTATTGCCATGGAAATGGTTGGAACAGGCATAACATTGAGGAAGAAGATTGAGGAAAACACACTAACTGAAAGGCAGAAACTATCGATATCATTGCGCCTCAGTATAGGACTTCACACCATTCATGATAAGAACGTTCTGTTGAACGACCTGAAAGACGACAATGTTATTGTTTATTCGTTAAATGGAACCGAATTCCAAGCAAAGTTAGTATTATGCTTTAATATGTGTATCAGTTCGTTTTAGTCAAAAGAAGTTCACATACTAAGTATGATTGTCTATGTAATACAGAATGATGGTAGAATTTGTTATCAATATTACTAACAACAGACTGAATCATTAAGATATGTACGTGCTACTTATTAAGCCAAACATCATTTGGTTGCAATGTTGCAAACTTAGAGTTCTAGTGAGTCACTTTGACAATCCATGGTAACTTCAGATAAAAACCATTTCGTTCTTATGCTTGATATTACAGATTTATTGACTTCGGGCACGCATCATGTGGATTTGAGAAGCGGTACGGTGGCAATGCCACAACGAACGCCAGATGCACTCACTTAGCTCCTGAAGTCAGAGCAGGAGAACCAACCACGGCTTCCTCTGATGTTTACAGTTTGGGATTTGTAATGGCTCTGTTTCGGATAGACAAACTAGCTAACATTGTGAGTCAATGCATGGGACACGAACCAGCTCAGCGACCCTGCTTACCTACTGTCGTGAGGAATTTGATGGATTTGATGTAAATTACGTAAATCTGATTTATATCAACAATGTACATTCTAAATACCGGCTACCTACTTCGATCATTTTCAACAGGAACTCATCAAACCACAGAAAATTTCTTTCCTTGTGCCAAATATTTTAATTGTTCATTCCAAAAGATTGTATTGTTATTCGTTATCGTGTTTATACAACTAGAGGCTGTTCTATTTTTACTACTGTTTATTTTACCTAACAAAGCATTAATATATACAGTTGTTAATGGCGTTGATTTTACATTTGTTAATGCTATTGTTACTATTTATATCTTTTATCTACAATTGTTTTAACTGGTGAATGCTTCCTCAACGGTGATAATGAATTAATCTATAACTTCCACTATTAAGTCTATTTTGTCAAATTTAAAACACACCAATAAGTATGTAACGGGTTGGGTTTACTTGATGGGGTGGGTGTGGCATACCGTGCTGTACAGAACAGGATACGATCCTCTGGCACACTGTGAAAAGTTGTAAGATCGTAAGTCTCTGGCGTGGATGAAATAAGCCCGTAAACTTGGCCTGCTGTACATCAGAGCTTGACACAATAGCATTTTACAACTATGGGTAGATTTCATTTTGGAAAAAATATAATTAATAAAAGAGAATTAAAACAAGGTATTTTCATCCGTACTGAAAACACACTCGTTTTTATTTTTCTGAATCACGTATCGGGAAATATTTCAAGATGTGATAATATGACTGTGTGTCAAATTTAAAACACACCAAAAATTCTTTAAACATATAAATCACATATATATACAATGTGCTATTCTGATTTTACTACCGTTTATTTTACATAACAAAGCATTAATATATACGGTTCTTAATGGCGTTGATTTTACATTTGTTAATGTTATTGTTACTATTTATATCTTTTATCTACAATTGTTTTAACTGGTGAATGCTTCATCAACGGTGATAATGAATTAATTGATAACTTACACTATTAAGTCTATTTTGTAAATTTAAAACACACCAATAAGTATGTAAGGGGTTGGGTTTACTTGATGGGATGGGTGTGGCATACCGTGCTGTACAGAACAGGATACGATCCTCTGGCACACTGTGAAAAGTTGTAAGATCGTAAGTCTCTGGCGTGGATGAAATAAGCCCGTAAACTTGGCCTGCTGTACATCAGAGCTTGACACAATAGCATTTTACAACTATGGGTAGATTTCATTTTGAAAAAAATACAATTAATAAAAGAGAATTAAAACAAGGTATTTTCATCCGTACTGAAAAACACTCGTTTTTTATTTTTCTGAATCACGAATCGGGAAATATTTTAAGATGTGATATTATGACTCTGTTTGAAAATTCTCATATATTTATACAAGGTGCTATTCTGATTTTACTGCTGTTCATTTTACATAACAGTTTTAATATTTATAAGTGATGCAGGTTTAATCTACTGGTATATTCATAAAAATGGTTATTGAGTCGAACAAGTTTTTTTTTACTTTTAAATACATGAATTGTTATCACCGATTTCATAAACAATTTACTTTACAAATTCAATTGATTTTCCAATGTTGAGCAATTTCGTCTCCGAGCAATACATGTAAGTACTTATTCACTATGGAATATAACAAATATGTGGACGTATTCAATGTTTTTATCCATAACTTTATATTTGTGTCCCTATGTTTCCATCATACTATGTAGCAAGGATACATATTAATGTTGCTCTCATTAAATTAATTTGTTATCAATTCGTCTTTGTGTTCTACATGTGTACGTATTTATTTAGTTACTTGAAGTATCACCACAAGTACTGTTTATAACCATTTGCATAAAGATTTTCTTTTGACAAGTTCAATTACTTTTCCGTTGTGTATTTATGTATCAAGACATGTGAATATTTATTTCCGATTGAATTTTTTCGGAACTGATTTTCCAGTCTTCCCAAAGACTGGCTAACCATGCTTCTGTATTACAATGATTAAGATTGACTTTTTGAAAATGATAACGACTCTGACTGTGGAATTTAAAGAACTCCAGAGAGCTTTTGACCAATATTTAACACCTCCCTCTGAAAAAAAATTAGAATATTGAATTTTTCTACCCTGGACATCACCATACCCCATTCTAAACGGAAGGAACGCCTTCGTTCTCTTGTTAGGAGAGTTTTCTTTTCCAAGACATGTGAACAGCGGTATAAATACAAACGTATTTCATAATAAATAAAGATACGTCCGAATCAAGAAATAGACGAAGGACAAAATCATAAAGTTTCTGGTTGACCACATCTTCGTCGAGTCCGGCGGTAAGATCCTCCATCAGACTTTTGGCATACCTAGGGGAGATAACTGTGTCCCTCCGTCGACTGATTTGTTGTTGTTTTCATACGAGGCTGAATTTATTGAAGATTATTTTCAAAAGCAGGTCACAAAGATCTTGCAAATTCGTTTAATTTCACTTTCAGACATATTGATCTGATTTGTCGACTGGTAAAACTCACATTTTTTATCTGATTTGTCTGCTGGTAAAATTCACAGCTCTGATCTGATTGGTCTACAAATCTCACAACTTTGATATGATTGGTCTACAAATCTCATAACTCTTATCCGATTGGTCTGCTGTAAATCTGAGATTATTGATCAACATTAATTTCTTATCATCAATAGTCTTTTCATTTATTTGTGATAGCAACAAAGATCACATAAAACGAAGTGATTTTAACAAACCTTTTTATTTTCCATTATTTATAACAATATCTTCAGTAACACTTCAGCCATACACACAAATAAAGGAAAAAGAAAAAACATAAAAACAAAAATAGCTGCTCACTGATCTATAGCGCCAGCTTAAACTAACACATTACAGGCAAAATATACTCAAAACAAGGGACATAATCCTCAGAAACGAAGAACAGTAGAAACTACAACACAGATCAAATAGATCGATAAGACCGTAGTTCTGAAACGATATCAGTAAAATTAAGTCTGTTGATGGATAAAAGAGTATTTAATAATTATTTCTGTGTAGTTTACATAATATCACAGTTACTATATATAAAACACACATTTCACCAAAAAACAAACAGCATTGGAACAAACAATCTTTAACTAATAAAAACACACTTGGCTAGAGTCTTAAATGTTTTTAAAACATCTATTAGTATCAGTTTACACGTGACAACGATATACACATGTATGGTTACAGCCCTTAAAAACAACGATAAAGTATACAAATATGTCGTGTTTTAGTCTTGTTTATACCACAAGATTTTAGTAGAATCTTAACTACACTAACGCATGACATCAAAAGGTTTTTAGTAGAAGATTATAGTGTGATACTTTTCACTCGATATCAAAGGGTTTAGTAGAATCTTACTTCACTAAGTCGTCAAACTAATGTATGATTTTATTTCAATAAATAACTTATATACTCTGAAGCATATCAATACTTGAATTTGTTCAACAAACACTTTTTCACTGATTCAATCTTTAACTTTCAGATTTCTCATATTTTCAACCTTTTTTGTGATCTTCCTGGACTGACCCAGCACATTCACACACCCATCTCTGAACCATTTGTATAAGGATGAGACACTTTCAAGAATGACTTTGCTCTTTGAATTCTAGTCCAACATATAAAGGGAGACAACACCTTATTTATTCCAAGATTATGCAATGTTCAGTATATTGACCACTTTTTTTAAATGAAGTGACCTGATTTTTTATTGAATTATTAAATGAATGTAGTGACTGTATATTTTAGTGGTAATCAGAATAATCTGTGTGTTTACCTGTAACTTGTGTATAGTGACCACCTGTGTATAGTGACCACCAGTGTTTACCTGTAACTTGTGTAGTGACTACCTGTGTATAGTGACCACCTGTGTTTACCTGTAACTTGTGTAGAGTGATCACCTGTGTATAGTGATCACCTGTGTTTACCTGTAACTTGTGTAGTGACTACCTGTGTTTACCTGTAACTTGTGTAGAGTGACCACCTGTGTATAGTGATCACCTGTGTTTACCTGTAACATGTGTAGTGGCTACCTGTGTACAGTGACCACCTGTGTTTACCTGTAACTTGTGTAGAGTGACAACCTGTGTATAGTGACCACCTGTGTTTACCTGTAACTTGTGTATAGTGACCACCTGTGTATAGTGACTGCCTGTTTACAGTTACACGTGTTTAGCTGTAACATGTGTATAGTGACCACCTGTGTTTACCTGTAACTTGTGTAGTGACCACCTGTGTATAGTGACCACCTGTGCATAGTGACTGCCTGTGTACAGCTATACATGTGTTTAGCTGTAACATGTGTATAGCTGCCATCTATGTTTAACTGTAACCTGTTTACAGTGACCATGTGTTTTGATGTATTCTGTACTTTACAACCTCATGTGTTAGGTGGTCCCTTGTGTATAGTGACCACCACCAGCATTTGGTAATGAAACTGACCACTACTACAGTGCAGGTGTAATGAACATATTTTTCTGTTGAGTGTAGACCTTTTTAATCTGTTGGGTGAACACCTGTTTTTCTATTGTGTGTACGCCTGTTTTTCTATTGTGTGGACACCTGACTTTCTATTGTGTGGACACCTGACTTTCTACTGTGTGGACTCCTGTTTTTCTATTGGGTGAACATCTGTATTATGTGAACATCTACTTATTTTTATCGTCCATACTTAGTGACAATCTCTGTTTGCTGACTACATGGTCATCTATATTAAACACAAAGAATATCTTACAAAATAAATATAACAAAACAAAATGAAATGATCTATATTAATGAAATACATATCAATGTAAACAACCGATGAAAATCAGAAATATTCTCTCGCCAACATTTACATAAAACAGAGTTATCTCCCCTCAATAATAGTTAGTGTAAAATATACTATTTTTATCTGTAAAACGAGCATCACCATTGCTGACAATGAAAACATCATGTTTATCAATCATATTTATATAACTTTAGAAGTTACATCAAAATTCACTTCCAAATTCATCCACCAATCACAATCCTCTTTGATGTCACATGGTCACTTTTATGGCATATAAAACGGATTTACGAATGAAGCAAGGGAAATCATTGTAGACACTTCATCGTCCATCCTCCACTTTGTCTTGTCGACTCGGCCTAAAAAAGAAACATTTAATAGCGGTGTAAGCCCGACTACAATATGGGAGATCATTCAAGGTTCTGTCCACTTTGTCCTCACTATCTGGAGTGACACTTCTCCGGATTTCTTCGGATCCAAGTTGAAATGCCAACCAGTCTAAAGCCTCAGTCAATCCGTCCCCTCTTAAGGCACTTACGTGGAAAAGATCTGAAAATAGTATGTTACAATAAAAACATTTCTGGTCTTCATGTTATGGTCACTACAAATCATGATGGAGCTTGAACTTGGGACCTCAAATCTAGCTTACTAGTTTCCAGGGTTACAGCTATTATTATGGGGCATGACTAAGTCCCTACTTGCTCAACAATGTATTATTAGGTCATTGTTACATTTTAATACCTCCACTAGTACTCATTTCTGGATTTGGAATATGTAACCCAGGTAAAATACTTTGTAATCTCTGGAAATTTGAGGGCCAGTTATTTCTGGATTTGGAATATGCACCCTAGGTAATATACTATCTGTAAAATAATGCTCAACTAGTTCAAATTTTCACAGGTTTACCAAAAAATCAATAGCTTACTAATTTTATTCCCTCCTCTAAAAAGAACGCAGATATGATCCTGTCAAAAATCATTTTGTCTTTCACAATAGTTGACTAACCAACAGCAAGTAAACCCTGCCATAATTTTGAATTTTCTTAATATACTGTTTATAAAATTTTTTAAATGAAATAAATGGGCTGTTAACCATTCTGTAAAGATTTGACAAATATCTTTGAACAAAGGATAAGTTTTCAATCGACCTACTCCAGGCATGTTTGAGCTGTCGTAGTCCGAGACGATCTTGAATTTCCTCGGACGTCATGTGTGGCTCAATGTCGCACTTGTTGGCCAGGAAAAGAAAACATGCACTGGAAAGTTCCTCTGCCTGAAGTGCTGGTTTGATGACGTCATGGTTCAGTTCATCCAGTCGTTCCTTGTCATGACTGTCAATCACTATGACGACGGCCTCCGTTCCCTTGTAGTAATGGCGGAACAGTGGCCTCTGTAAAGTTGATTTTCAACTATTGTAAATGATGTTATTTTTGATGGCTCAAATTTTAGGAGTTTTACCGAAACCATGATTTTTAAACCTAATTTCCTAAATATTGTTCATGATTTAATACAACATAGAACACCATAAAAATAAAAATCTTTGCAAACCTTTTGAAAATGGTAGTAAAACAGAATTAGA